CATGCTATCCTCAGCTACTGCAGCATGAGTTCCATCCCTGGCCAGGGAGCTAACCTACATGGCACAGCAGACCTCTCCTGTCTCACCTGCTGCTCCCCTCAGCAGTGTCTACCAGTCAATCTGCCTGTTCTGCTCCCCATTCTATCTCTGGTGAATCCTCTCACGCCCCTACAACTCTGGCTTATACCCCAGTTCATAAATAAATAAAAAATAAAATGAAAAAAATATAAGTGATTTATTGGCAATGTGTTGGTTTTGGGCAAGTGGAGATTAAATTAAAGAGGTAAACAAGTAGATCATGAGAGTCTGTGTCTTGGCTAACCTGAGAAATTTATGTTTATATTCACTCAAAATTTTTAGAATTCTTTGTAAGTCATAAATTATGGAGTGGGAGTTAACTGTGACCTGAAAAAAGAATTCAGGGAATGTACCCATTTCAATTAGAAAAAAAATAACATTATTTGCACTAACCTCTAATTCAGCATTTCAATTATATAAATGTAGGAAACAAACCCAAGCATTAATAATAGTATCTGTGGATTAATTACCAAGAGAAATAGCAGATATTTTAATATTACATTAGTTATTGCAGGTATCACAAAATATAGCACTCACAATAAATTTGAAGTTATGTACTTATTAGATCTGCTATTAAGTCTTCTTATGTAATATGTTAAATATTAAAATGTTAAATGTTTTTATATTACAAATTGTTATTTTATCATTATGATATTCCAATGTATTTATATTTTGATGACTTTTTTCAAATTTTGCTTTATGAGGCCCTCCCCGGTGGCACAGTGGTTGAGCACTGGGCTGCGAAGTTGCCCGCAGCCTCTGCAGCGCCGGTTCAATCCCCGGCCGCTGGGCGAGGGTCCCACATGGCGCGCAGACCTCTCCTGCCGCCCACTGCTCCCCTCAGCAGTGTACTTCTTCGTCAGTCTGCCTATTCTGCTCCCCGCTCTGGTTCTGGTGAATTCTCTCACCCTCCCGTGTTTCTGACTGTACCCAGTACTTGTATAAATAATACATCTTTAAAAAAATATTTTGCTTTATGATATTATATATTTATTTCATGCAGTTAAGAGTTCATAGACTTCACCCGAATTCCAAATGGAGCCATGACACACACAAATGATGAGAACCCTACCAAAAAACCATATTTGTTTCTAATTTTATAGAAACAGAGGAGAAATGAAGTAGAAGAGACAGAAGATAACTATTCCTTAAGAAAAGTTAAAAGGCTGGAATAAAAAGTGTAAAGGGAGAAAAGTCCCTCCTTCACTGTAACAAGGAAGGAGGTAGAAAAAGTCACACAGAAGTAGTAGTCTTGAGGGGGGAGGGGGTACTTGTTTGATGACTTAATATATGGCACATAACATACTTTGTCAAATTGACAAGAACTTATATATATCTTACACACGTGTGCCAGGCATAGTTGTTGGTCCTGAACATTTTATCTTCAGAGAACATTAAGATTTCTTCCTTCACAATGAGGAAACAGAGGACATAAAGAAGTTAAGGAATTTGCTGATACTGTAAATGTAGAGCCAAAATTTGAACCTAGAAATCTAATTTGTGCTCCTAATTCACAATTCTACCCCTACAATAAATAAAATGCAGCTACAAGTAACATGATTGAATCTAGGAAATATTATAAAATGAAACAAAACAGAAAGCAATCCCAGAAAACTGCAATATATTATTATATATTATTTGTACATAGCTCAAAACAAGTGACACTAAACAAGATACTGTAAAGGGAAATATTGATAATGACAACAAAATTTTTGAAAGTAAAAACAAAAAGAATAAACATACAATCCAGAGTAGTAATTGATTTAATGTAGCAAGAAGCATGAAGGAAAAAAGGAGGCAAAGGCAGGTGTACCTACAATGGGGTTGATGATCTTTTTATTTTTGAATTGGGTGGTGAGTTCCTACTTATTGGTATTATGCTTTATATAAAGCATAATAACTCTACCATTATTTAATATTTGCACTATTTTTATCCTTTTAGGTATCAGATATTACATAAAAACTTTTAAAAAACAAGAAATAAATAAAACGTTGAGAATACAGAGAAATAGACTTTGGCTATGCTTTAAAGGTACTTGACTCCAAGGGAAGGTAACACTAAGTAGATATATATTTTAGGGGAATTTTTTTCTTTTTCCATGGAAGGCTCTGAATCCTACTTACAGAATGGGCTACACTTAATGGCTTGACCCTCTACAGTTTTGTCTCCCTGGGTATCTGGAAATGTCTGGAAACTTTTTGATTGTCATGACTGGGTAGGGGGAGGGTTCCACTGACATCTGACAGAAGCCAGAGATCAGTTAAACATCCTATAAAGCATAGTGTACATTCTTCCCCAATTTAACTTACTCAGATTAGCAATATTACTGAGGTTGACAAACCTAGAGATAGAATCAGCAAAGCAGGAGGGATTAAAAATATAATAACAGATAAATAGTTGAGGGAGCAGGAACCAGAAAAGAAAGGAGATCTTGGTCCAAAAAAGACACATCATTTCTTCAGAACCTGGAGACCTTCATTCTTTAAGCTCATTCTTTTACACAAAATGTCTATGAATCAGACCTCAATCTAACCCTACCATTATTGTAAATACAAACAGCCTATTTAGAGTTTTATTGCTAATAATTCCATTGAAACAGGCAGGAAAAGTACAAAATAACCAATGCAAGTGGGGTTAAGTCATCTCTGAGCTAATGAAATTTATGCCTCAGGACCCTTGGCAGGCAGCTGGCCCTTGTGTGACCCTAGCAAATTTTAAATTTGTTTGAATTAATTATATTTCCTGAAGACAGCCATCAAATTGTATACACTTCAGGTCCCATAAAATGAAGATTTGCCTTTGAATGCAGGACAGTTTTTCAGTTTAATCCTGGCCTTCTCCCTGGGTCTTCACATGGTTTTTCCTCAGTGGGAGTGATCCATGATATTTCTATTTATGTTCAAATTTCTTCTAAGGACAACTGTCAGATTGAATTAAGGTTCAACCTACAGGGCTCATTGTACCTTAATCACTGATTTGAAGGCCCTCTGCAAATATAGTCAAATTCTGATGGACAATATACATCAACATTAGGATTTCAACATATGAATTGGGTAGGGATTTCAGCTCATAGCAGGGGTTATTTTATTACTCCAATAATTATGATCTCTAACTTAGATATTCCTTCACAAGAAATCAGCAATTTGGAGATGACCTGAGAGGAAAAGAAAAGGGCCTTGTGCTGAACATCACCGTCAGTAGGCAAAAAAAAAAATATCCAAAGAGAGAGGAAAAAAACATTAAAATTTGGCTGGAAGAAGGAATCATTGGAAGTCTTAGAGATGTGTGTGCATATATATGCATATATATAAATATTTTATATTTGTGTGAGTGTGTATATATATCTATACACATATATATATAGCAAGAGAAGACTTCATCTCTTTTTGAGGACTACAGAGAAAAATAAAATTAAAGATGGTCAAAAAAGGAAAGAGGTAAACCATAATTAGTGCTTCCACTCTACCCTACAAGTACTAATATGCTAGTAAAAAGATGTAATCCAAAAAGGACAAACAGATTTTGAGTCGAGAAGCAAAGGAAGTAACAGAACATTTTAGAACATATAGACAGTATTGATTGGCTCTACACACTAGAAAAACTGAAATCTAAATGCCTGAAAGGGAAAGCCAATAAGTAAACAGATTCATGAAAAATAACTTCAGAAATTCTCAGGACTTGGAAGCGTAGGTTCCCTCTGAAAATGGAAAGATGGTTGAGTGTGAATGATTCAAAGTCTGTACACAATGTTATTTATAAATATGGAGGTAAGAACCAGAAGAAATAACAAAGCATTTAAAATTATTTCTTCTAGGGGCTATACTTTAAGATGATTTTCAAATATATGGACTGATCATTTTGAGACACAAAAATAAGTTATAAAGAAAATTTCTTATGTAATACATATATTTATACCCCAAAATACTTTGTCTAGGGCCTCCCCGTTGGTGCAGGGATTAAAGTTTCAGCACTATCAAGATATTGGCAGCCACTGCATGGTTTTTCCTCAGTGGGAGTGATCCATGATATTTCTTTTTATGTTCAAATTTATTCTAAGGACAACTGTCAGATTGAATTAAGGTTCCATGAGTTCAATTCTGGACAAGGCAGCTAACCCACATGGCACAGCAGACGTCGCCTGTCTTGCCTGATGCTCCCCTTGGCAGTGTATTTCAGTAGATCCACCTGTTCTGCTCCCCATTCTGTCTCTGGTGAATCTTCTCACCCCTGCACCTCAGGCCTGCACCACAGATCTTATATGCAGATATAAATAAAAATAAATCTTTAAAAAAATACTATGGTCTAAATAATCCTTCATGCTTTGTGTAAGGTTGATATGTATCTGAAAAAAAATGTTAGCTCAATTCAATTCTGTATAAGCATGGATTATAATAACTATTTTTGTTTTTATTATAGTTAACCTTTTCCTGAAAATGCTGGACACATGCCTGTTTTAATATTATACTTTAAGCCATCAAGTTTAAGGAGCATCCACTTGAAATAGTGCTATTACCTGTGGAACAATATGAGTTAGTTATATTAGGCTCACATATCCATATTTTTTTAGGCTGGGATTTTGCAGTTAAAAAAATGTCTAGAGAGATTGATATAATTCATGGTGTTCCATAGTTAGGTCTTAACATATTAGATGTGGTAACAGATCCATCAATGAAGAGGAATGTCAAATATAACAATCAGAAGTTTTATGGGAATACAGAGATCAGTGGTGTCTAGAACAGTCATTCACAATGATTTATAAACTTTTCTCAAAATGATTTCATTATTAATAAATATCTTATTTCTTTCAATAAAATTGTCACTCAAAATTAAAAAATAACCCAAGTAACACCCATAACACCCATGTGAGATCTATCCCTCATCTCTTTTCTTTCCCTCCTGATACAGTTTAATGTTTCTGTACCTCTCTATAGCCATTGCTGATTTGCTCCAAGCTGAGGGAATATACAAGGTCCTTGCCGCCCACGAAGAGTCTTTCTTGGTATTCATCCAGCAGCATTGTATGGAGATCAAGAAATCCAAAAGGACTATGAAATATTGACGTTCTGTTTAGATCCAAGAGCTCTGAAATGTAACAGGAAATGTACACTAAAAATAGGATTAAATACAAATACCTTTATAACATTTTTCTCATGGTTCTATTTTCATATCCATTAGAACTGTGTAGTTAACATTCCTTTTATCATAAATATAAAGCTTTTTAAATTTGTTATTCAAAAGATTAAAATATATAGTGCAACTGAGAATGAATGTTAATGCACAAATTAAAATATTTTATGTGCATGAATCTAAAAGCCTCAATTCAACTCAAAGTGTAAGGTACATACTCTAAGGTTTTAAATACAGAAGACTTCTTCACAATATTTACTATAAAGTACTATCTAAAAAAGACATTTTATCATATAGAGAGACATGAATTTCTACTTGTTTTTGTGAATTTCTGATTCTGTAAAAATTAAAAAACTTTGAAATTCTAACTTTTTGACCAAATTGCATTTCTAAAATGGAGTAGATAAAACATTATAAAAAACAAACAAATGTAACATGAAGATGTTTTATAAAGTCCTTTAAAGCACAATGTGGAAACTTTATTTTTCAAAGCTAACAAAGGGAGTGGCCACTGAGCAAGTTTAAAGATCTCACGCACTCTAAGCTTACTTAAAGGGATGTAGTTAAAACAGTGACTTTTAATATATTTAAATTATCATTGGACCAGATGATGGTTTAAATTGTAGGGATTTTGGAGCTTAATTTTGATGCTTTCAGAGGAAGCTGCTGCCATGATATGTTTACATACATGAAATTGGATGCCATCTATGTGCTTTAAGCAATAACCAATTTCATTTATGAAGATACCTTGCAGAATAATTCTTAAAGTCATTTAAACTTATAAAACCCAATGAATATACTACAGTTTTCTTTAAAAATTCTTGCAACTTAAGAGCATTGTGGTTAGTGATTTGCAACTGTCCACTTTGTCTCTTGCCATATAACAGAATAGTGCCATTGACTGATTCCAAGAAGTTCAGAATTGGCAGTAGATACATTATTTTATAAGTGTTGTACTAACCAAAGCATACCAATATGTTGGCTTACATTTTTTTTATCCACATCTGTAAGTATAAATCCTGATTGTGATGCTTAATTTGCTCTGCAAATCAAACTATTCTTCCTTACTATTCTATGATTTTCCAATATCCTTAACTTTAAGACAAAAAATATTAAAAGTAACCATTAGGTGTAAATATTTGTGCTTTATACATATATATGGGGTAGAAACTGCTCATTTTCTAGATGCAAAAAAGAGGTTTTCATAACTAAGATTATTTGCATAACTAAGCATAACTAAGATTATTTGGCCCATGTTGGTGCCAAAATTTGATAAGAGGTGACCGAAGTGCTTTGCTATTAACTATGCAAATGCAGAAGATGGGGTGTCTATCTCTACTATAAACTCACACAGTTTAGTTACCCCCAGTACACATTCTGGTCCCCAGCGTCAAAAAGCAAAAAAAACTGAGACTTTTCAAAAGCTTGTTCCTTGTTAACACTGACTCAATAATCTATATATAACACTTTACAGAAGCAACTAAGAAAAATTTAGTCTACTCAGGGAAAAGAATGTGTCAGTTATTGAATGCTTTTTTTTTTGCAGTCTGATACAAGTAACAAATGCAATGGAAGTTATTTTCAATATTTAAAACTTGGATGAATAGAAGTCAAAATAATTCAACATCATCAACAGGAAAATTCAGGTAACATGAATTTTAATTGCCTTAGATTGTATTTTATAAACTTTGTAAAATACAGAAATTTTTATGTTGCTTTGACTTACGTATTTGTGACATTTTTCAGCTTACTTTTGAGAAAACTGAAATTTTTTTCTTAATTTTCTGTAGCTACAAAATGTATTGGAAGTGTTTTGGTGCATACTAAAGGTACAAGAAACTCATGCAAGCTTTGTTCCCTCAATAAGAATTTTTCTTCTTTTCAGATCTAAAGACAGCGTTTAAGTCAGACTAATGATTTTAGGTCCAAATTATAGTCTGTGGACTTGGTATATTTACCAAGCAATGCTAAATTCTTTATCCCTTTGCATTGCTTCAAGCTGCCTGGACGAAAGAATCAGAACATACAGGAAGAGGGGGACAAAAGAAACTCTAATCTCAGGTAATCTCTAGAAAACACAGTGCAAATAATGGACAGTGCTGACTTGGTTAAAAGGAGGGAGCTCATCTTGACTTCTTACTACTCTAAAAATAACATGAATTACTTGGGGGGAGGGAGTGGACAAAGAAACAAGACTAACTGAGATGCACCAACTTAGAGTTCATCCGGAAATTTTCTCAAGAGGGAACTAATTATTATTGCTAAGCTGCATGCTAATTATCAGCTGTCAATGAAGATATACATGGAGGATTTAGTTATTTCCTTTCATGGTCTTTCTTTTTAACCTGAAAGGGAAATACTTTTAAAATTCATTGACATCAATATATTACAAAGACAGTTCTCTTTACTGGGTCAAAATATATATTTAAGTTCCACATGTCCATGTGTAAGATGGGAAGGAGAGAGTACATGTTTTTCAGTTCTCAAACAAAAATAGATTGCAAAGGGAGGGGTGTTTCCTTCCTGAATGCACACTTCTTCACTGTCACCTGCAAAATAGCAACTTCTTGAGACCCAGAGCTTTACCTTTTCATTATTTTCTGATTCAACTGTTTTATTTACTGCATATCTTAAAGTTAATTCAAGAATAAAATACAGAATTGCACATAGTTATTGCTAGTGAAAACTAAATACAGAAAATTAAATTAGAAATTTTCTTAAACCTCTTTAAAGATTAAAAATGAAACGTTTTTTACAACATGGTTTGATGATTTTGACAGTTCTGACCAAATATAACAAAGGTTTGTAATAATATTGAGACAACCTGGCAAAGATTAACTTCTTGTTCAGTGTAAACAAGGGATAACTCAATGGTTTGTTAATTACTCTCCCTAACAATGACAGTGGCTAGCCTTTCATATATTCTATGAACTTCTAGATTCTATCCTCCTCACAAGTCAAAGATCCACAAGAGGCATTGTGATAGTCCAAATTTTTGCCACTTTCAACAAAAGGAAAAAGAGTTCAAAAGTAATATGAATAGCCTAAACATTAAATAGCATGTTATTTCCTCAGTCAAGGGAAACAAAAAAGCATAATTCTGAATTATAAGATTCATCATGTTCTTTTATCTTACATAAATCATTATTATTCACTATCATATGGTATTCTTTCTGGCTTATATGTCTCTTAACTCCTCCACGAATACAAGATCACCATGGGACAAGGTTACATAATCATTGTTTGTACATGTTCCATATGTGTGCGTGTATTTAAATTATTGAATTGAATAAAATCATGAAGTGTTTTCCCTAAAACTCAATGACATAATTATTTTTGATTGCCTCCTAAATGCTTAATTATAATTATACTTTATTATATTGTAATGTAATAAAACATTACAGAACAAGTCAACAGAACAAGTCCTCATGAATAGCTTCCTAAACTGAACCTGCATGCTGGGCATGTGAAATGGGACCACAGTGTATTGCTCATTGAGCATTCCATTAGGAGCTTGTAAACAAGGACATGTTATTTTAAATGCAGTGGGAAGGACTTCAAAGGCATTTAGAGCAATTGTATGAACAGATTTATTTTAAAAATACAAATCAATTTTGATATGTGTAATGGCCAGAAGTGGCCAAGAGTTGGAAGAAAGGAGGTTTAAAAACTATTTTAAAAATGAGAATGACAGTAGCAAAGCAAGATGCACTGAGAAAGCAGATACCTGAAAGAGCAAGTGGAAGAAAACTACACGTCAAATTTTAAGGTAAGGTAAAAATATATTTAAGTTTATTAGGACTGAGACAATAGACTGCAATTCAATTTGGTAAAAAATTCAGTACGTATTTGACATCCACTGTATTAGGCACCATATCCTGAGTTTCAGAGGGACATTAACCATCAACATAATTCTATAAAAATAACATAATTTGGATTTTAGTATGTCTCGCTTCTCTAAGTTAATTTTAGAGATAAGGTTTACAAAATTACATACTTGATAAAATTAGACTCATTCACTTATTTTAAAGAAAATTCATTTCATAGCTGTGTGGAGGTTCCCCAAACTACTAAAAATGGAAATACCATATGACCCAGCAATTCCACTCCTAGGAATCTACCCAAAGGACACAAAAACATTAATTCAAAAGGATACTTACACCCCTATTTTTATTGCAGCACTATTTACCACAGGTGAAACCTGGGAACAACCCAAATGCCCAAAAATAATTGATTGGATCAAGAAGATGTGGTATATATACACAATGGAATACTATTTGGCAATCAAAAAAGATAAACTCATGCCATCCACAGAAACATGGATGGAGCTAGAAGGGATTATGCTGAGTGAAATAAGTCAGATTAAAAAGAAAAATATCAGGTGATTTCACTTATAGGAAGAATATAAAGGAACACAATAAGGGATCAGGGAAAAAGCTAACAATAGCAATAAATAAACAAAATTAACAACTGTAAATTGGAGACATTTTGCAAGGGAGGAGGAGATAGAATGAAAACAGGGGAGAGAACACAAGGGACTTGGTGATGATTCATGGGTGAATTGGTGGTGGGAATTTTAGGGGGAATATACCTGAAAGGAGGAGGCATAAAAGCATACACTGTACAAAAATCAACAATAATGTAAAATTATATATATATATAAATAAAAAGGGGAAAAACGCCTTTCATAGTTAAAACTAGAAAGAATATGAATTGATAAATTGATAAATCCCCTCCCTTCTGGAATCCTTCTTACTGTACAGTTCTTCCTCTTCTGCTCTCAGTGGCTTACACCTGTCTAGTTAGTTCTTGGGTATTCTTACAAAGTTTCTAGCGCATATACACCAAATATGGTATACAGACCTTTATTACCTTCTCAACTTTTCTATGCACAAAAAGAGAATCATAATATAATCTCTGTTCTGTACCTTGGTTCTCTACCCTTGGTATATCTT